ATGAAGGCGTAAGGGGGAGTGGATTTATAGATCCATATTTTCTTGACCTCTGCACTAGCTGGAGGTGAGTGGTCAGTTTCACGCTCTGGACGCTTTACCCCCAGGGAAAGAGCCCCCGGGACCCATTGGACAGGAGGTTGGGTGAACCCCAGAACCGGTGTGGATGACATGGAGAAGAGAAAATTCTTGACCCCACCGGGACTCGAAATCTGACCCCTCAGTCGTCCAGCCTGTAGCCAGTCCCTATACACACTGAGCTATCCCGGCTCACCTGTTCTATTCGGTAAAATCATTAATATGCACAAGATTCACTCAAATGAAAATAAACTAAATTGCGTTCATGTTCAGTGGGTCGGTGGTGTATACAGCTGCTGGTCTTCGCCAGCACAGCCAATCTTACTTTCAGTTCCCGTCGGGACCCAGGGCCATATTTTTGTTCTTTCTAAGACTTTCGCTTGTTCTGAAATATGATCTCCTCTTCAACGAGAGGAGGGGTCTGACTTATACTGGTCACTTCCCTCTACTTGGGGGGGGGGACTCAAGTGGGCACTCATTAACTGGCCATGTGCTCCACACACCGTGTTCGTGATCTTGGTTCGGTATTCATTCTTATAGATTAAGAGTGAGAGAATGCGAGATCAGTGTAAACACTGAGTGAGTCTGCAGCCACCTGCTCACGCTGGTTCCTCGCTCGCGGATTTATATTCCCTGAAGATGGAGGCGATACGGTCCTCCGAAACGTCGGGTTACACAATACCTACCGTGCGCCACATCCCAGAAGACGGAATTCTTCATTCTAAAATCTGTTTTTTTCTAAATTAAGAAAGACACTTACAATCGGAATATAGACGGAATTCTTCTGAGTACAGAAATGGGCACACAGACCATCGGTTGGCGATCCCTGGTATACATACTTTCAAGGTTTCTGTTTTATTGTAGACCCGATCTGAAGTAGTCAGCAGTTTCGCAAGACTCTTAGAGACAGTCTAGACTGCGCAAAAAAGAATAGTCTTCGAAGGGGCACGTACAGGACTGCGATATTGCATTGCTGGACTGGCATTTCAAACATCTGGGCGCGTCCATAAAATAGACAGAAGGTTAAACCTACTCCTTGTCATAGAGGATACTGGAATCACAGGCGAAGCGTTGGCTTCTCCTTGCTGGAAGGTAAAGGTTTCGGTATTACACCAATCACGGTGTTCTACTTTCGTCAGTTTTGCATGATGATGCCCAGAATGCATAAAATTCATTGGTCCTGGATTTGGAGTACCATGCGAATAAGTTGTAGCTGGTCCACATCTCATCTCCTATGAACGATCGACCGTAAAGTAAGATTGTATAGCTCAGCGTTATTGCTGTTTGCATTCTGGCAAGGGAGACTTTATGAAAGTCAAATTTATAAAAGGTTTAATAAACCGCTTTGAGTGTATTATTGCAAGTGTTAAAATGAAGTCCGATAAATTTAATTATATTTTTGGAGCGATGGGAGCCGGGGTAGCGTATTCAGTATAGCGACTGGCTACGGGCTATACTACCGAGGGGTTGGAGTTCGAGTCCCGGTAGGGTCAAGAACTTTCTCTTCTCCACGTAGTCCACACCGACTCTGGGGTTCACCTAACCTCCTATCCAATGGGTATCGGAGGCTCTTTCCCCGGGGATAAAGCGGCCAGGGTGTTAAACTGACCACACACCTCCAACTAGTGCCGAGGACAAGAAAATGTGGATCTATATATCCACTCCCCCATACGTCTTCATGGTGTATTGCTTAGCTAGTTAAGCAGAGGGATAACAACTTCTTTGGAACAAGAAGAAGAGCATTGAATGAGATGAGGAGACACATAGATTTAATTAATTACGAATGTACCTGCCCCAATATTAATGTACACGTCTCAAATAAAAACAGATAAAACCTAAAAACATAGGAAGTTACATTTCTTAAAAATAAGATGGACCATATAATGAATGATGAAAATACAAATGCAACATTTAGGTAACGGTAAACCTATCCCTATAATGGGCCGTGGAAGCCCATAGGGTTGTGAGACATCGAGAAACCCATATTTTCTTCACAATCGGCTCATAAATGGCGGTGGGATTCAGTCTATAGACTGCAGCCATCTGCTCACGCTGGTTCCTCGCTCGCGATTTTTTCTACCCTGAAGATAGAGGCGATACGTTCCTCCGAAACGTCTGTTTACACAATATCTACACGGCAACATGTCCCAGGAGACTACATTCCTCAGATACGTCAAATGTCGTTATTTAAACTGAAGAGGGCTTGCCAGAAAAAGGCAAAAAATTATAAAATTTATTGTTAGAGTACAGACCGTTCAAGCTGAGATCCTGGACTCCTGAGGGAGAAACACTTGTACAGGATTCATGATAAGGGAATTCAGCTCAGTCATGCATAGTTCATGATGAGCATCTTGTAACGAAGAGTTTACAATATGGAAACGAGTTGAACACGATTCCTAGGATACCAGAATTGTAAGTTGTAGACTCTTGAAAAGCAGCTCGTTGCTGTGGAATGAACAGGCGTGTCCATGGATACGAACAGTCAACAAACGTTTTCCTAAGATACCGCTACGCCGTTGAGATAAGGACTGAAGCATTCGGAAATCAGAAGGTAGCCATAAGTCTGTCACAGTAGGAGAAACACTAGAAAACAGTCGTAAAAGAGAATTCAGTGAGTCTTAAGGAGCCATTTATTGGAAGCTGTTATAATTTATAGTGATTAAGAGTGACTGTATAAAAGAAAGCTTTAATAAATCAAATCATCCAATCCAAACCCGTTATTATCAGTCACAGAGCCATAAACACGTGACAATATATTGAAGGAAATACAGTTTCAGCATCTTAAACTTTTTGGGGTTACGTACTAAAGAATTGTCAGAAGTCGGTCTCTGTCTCCTCACCAACGAGGCTGTGGAAACCGAGTCATCGTTCCATAACCGTTAATCATGCGCAGAGCAGACGCTTTATCAACTGCCAATCCATGCACCGGAAGGAGAGAATTCCAACACTGGACTAGTCTTGCGAAGAGCTCGAAGCTTGTGCAGGGAAATAACAAACACTGGCAAGGATCTCAAGTTGTCTCAAAAGGAAACTTATGCTCAGGATATCATGATATAATACTGAACTTTGCTAAATCAGGTTTATCCAGTTTGTAATTCTATGTTATGTGTATGTTTCTTTGTTTTTGCTTTATGAGCTATTTCATGACGACTTCAGGGTGCGATCATATAGCGTCGAAACGTATGATAATTAATGGATGGCGAATAGGAAAGGATTTAGAAGGAAGAAGACATGGCCTGATGGAGGTAACATGTCGGAATATGTCCTGATAGACTGAATGAATCCTCGAAACAAGTAAAGCAGGATATCCGATGTTCCGGCTATGGATTATAACCGAGTACCTTCTGAGTCATGTCTAGAGCTTAACGGGTACTGCAACCCGTTCAGGCCACTTCTGGCCTATTGTACCAGCCCCAGATGATAGGTGAGGGTGATTGTGGAGCAATTGGTGGAATGAAGATTGGCAGGGGAAACCGAAGTACTCGGAGAAAACCTATCCCAGCGCCACTTTGTCCACCACAAATCCCACTTGACTACCCGGGCTCGAACCCGAGCGACCGAGGTGAGAAGCCAGCAACTAACCGCTTGAGCTATGGCGCGGTTTTTTTCGGCGAAGTTAGTGCCAACTTTGGCGGATAGAGGTTGTCGTGTGGTCAGCGCAACGAATCCCCACGCCTTAGCCTTAGGCCTATATAGGCCCTGATATGGGTTTACAAGGAAGATATAATCTGGAAAGAGAAAGAAATTGATAACCTAGGACACACTGTTTTGACTACGTTATAAAGGATGGAAAACATGTGTATGCCTGTAGCCCTCTATCGTCTCGTTGCTTGATTTCATTTCAGTTTGTGAACAACGGAAACATGGTAGGTACTGTGGCAATTTGTAGCACTGTGTCATGAAATGAATTACAATTAAACATCTAAGAAATAATATGGAAGCTCTAAGTGTATGATATTGCAATGGCTCCACCTGTGTTCGTATAAAACACATTTAATTGATCTGCTGACAATGTCGTTTCTAACTTGAGGCCTTATTATTATTCTTACTTCGTATGTCAAATACAAAGTTGTCTCTTCTTTGTCAGGATGAAGCACTACAAAAGCGTCACTGGAGCAATGCATCATGCATATCTGATGTTTCTGACAGATGAATTATTCTGATGATGGTCATATATATTTCTGTTTGTGTCTGTACTTATGACAGTAAGCTGCATAATGGCGAATGCCATTTTCTCTGAATAATGGATGCTCTACTATTGTCTCACGCAGAAGGTAACCGAAGCATCTGCAGCATTTTATTATTGGGCATTCTGTTCTTCAAAGTGGCTCTTGGAGACGTATTTATCACCAATGGAGTGCACGTTCTGATACGATCTCAGAAGCCATACTAAGTCAGAGTCCCACCACCCCCCACCGACGATCTGCCTTCCGCAAACGGTACAATCCTTTGCAGACATCTTACGGGTATGCTAACGATGGCTGAAACAGAAAGGCTTCTGGTTTATATTTGGGGGGTGTCGGATTCGAATCTCGGTCGGAACATTACTAACCTGCCTGAAATTGTTCTTGCTTTTCCTGAGTCCTCCAGCAAATGCCGAGTTAGTACATTATATTTGGCCATGATGGTTTCCTTCCAAATCCTTTGTGGCTCATTATTAAATGAACTATAAATGAAGTTATCTTAGAGTTATTTTGGGGATATAACGTCGTGCTGTCCGCTGAAAATCAAACAGCGTTTGAGAGAAGTACGTCGCCTCCATGTTCAGGATTAAAATGTAAGCCAATCAAGAAACCAGCAAGACGCAGGTAGCAAGCTTGCAGATGGAATCTTAAAAAAAACTTCTGTTGAACTAGTTTATGGTTTTGTAACCTCATTCGATTTTCCTTGTGCAATAATATTAATAAAAATGTTTTTACTTTCAGTTGGATGTTAAATGGAACAGGAACGGGGCTAAGTCTGAACACGGTATGTATTTACACGCAGTAGTTTAATGTAGCAAGTTTCAAATGCATTTCCATTTTAGATGTTACATTTTCTACTAGCATTTTGAATTGTACTGGTTCTTTCATAATCCAAGTCTTTTCGATTTAGTGCAGCAGCTGTAGGTTATAGAGTATTTTCATATTCTTTTTGTGGTTACGTACTTACACCGTGTCTAAGGCATGTACTCTCTCCGCTCGCTTGAAAACCGGGATCGTGGGTTCGAATCCCAATCGTGGCATGGATGTTTAGTTTGTGTGCGTGCGTTTTTCTGTGTTTGTGTGCAGGTAGAGGCCTTGCGACGAGCTGATCACCCGCCCAAGGAGTCCTACCGAATGTGTAAGATCTAGATAAACCAAAGTGAACGGAGAAGTTCATGGAGGTAGGCCTAGGCCCACTGGGGCTGTAGTGCCAAGGGGGGAAAAAACTTACGCCGTTGTAGATGTTTCCAGGAAGGAGCAAGAGCAATTTCATATCAAGAGTGCAAAAGGGCGGTTACTTAATTGCTTTGCTGAGGCATCATGACACTAAACGGAGCTAGAAGAACTCAACAGTAACTACGAGTTTCAATGCCAGAACTCATTTGAATGATGTCACACAGGCTACTATTCACCATATGAACATGAAGTAGGCGTATTGTAACAGTGTCAGTGAAACGCGCATCATAATTTCGTACACGTCACATTTGAAGGGGAACGTAACTGTATTACTGTAATAAAGCAAACAAAAAAATCCATGGCCTTTATTCCGCAAGCGAACTACACCGACCGAGGGACCGCTAGTGTATTACTGTAATACCAGCATAATAAAAAATGCTTATTGACAATCTGGCAGTCACTCACATGGTCAGGAAATTTCTCCTTGAGCCCAAACTTTCTCAAGAACCCGACACTTGACTTTGTCCTGATAGAGATAACACGAGTACGCAACCTCGCATAATGTTTCTTGGAGATATAAATTAATATTTTTCTCCCATCCACGCCTAGGACTCACAAGTTGACTTTTACTTTGTGTTACTCCTTAATTTTATGTGAATTTCAAATCTATTCCATACTTACTACAGGTCTTTATGTAATGAACTGTTTTTGAAATTCTGGTGTCAGTCCAGTTACTAACACGTACACCGAACACACAGCAGTAGAGAACAGCTATAGTGCCGTCTCACAACCCCCCCC